TTTGAGGCGTCTACATCCAACGAAAACGTCAAATCTAGTAGTACTCACCTTCAACTTGCGACGACAGCCCCCGCGATTGTTTAAAATAACACACCTAGAAGAGGCTAGTATGAGAACAGAGTTCTCACCTGTATTTGTATCGATTGATCTCCTTAACAATGCTGGCAATGTAGTGGCAGCAACCACAACCAGCTAGACCGGGCAGTAGAGCAACGATCGGTGTGTCATCCGCCATTCCTTCAATGTTACTCCACGAAAGTGTCATATCCCCACCATCTGAAAAGCTTATGGCCTCTCTAACGGATAATAAGACGTAAAAATCAAAGCCTTACTCTTCGTAGTTTAACTTTTCAACGCGATGGAATATGGGTCTCAGTATCGTCTGCACTCGACCAGTGAAACCAAAAACAAAAGGTGAGTAGACTTCATTAAGGAAAGGAACGTATGAATGGAAGAAATCCACGAGTTTCCGAGAGTGACCATACAAAACAGGAGACTAGATAAACGGGTAATGAGACGAAAGAAGGTCAAATGTACCGAACGAGCAACAAAGAAATAGTAGGCCACGTAGGCCCCAATTAGACTAGAAATTAGGAGTTTTGCGTTGCACGCGTTAGTTATGAAATAATCACAAAGTGAAGGCATGTTTTTCAGCAGAGTAACAGCTCGAAGGCGCCAACACAATACACCTGCCCGATAAACTCACTTTAGCCTACCTACTTTAATTAGTCAAGTGACAAACAGCGCGCACTTCTCTGCCGCTAATATCATATATTGTAACAGCAAGTATAATATTCAAAAAAATGCTTCAAATACTGAAATAAACCTACCTTCAAACCTGATTATTTTGGCAAATTTTTTTTCGCTTACTGGCTTAAATACCAAAAATGTTGTGGGACCTACGATACAGCTACTTAATTGTGTTTTATGTATCAGCATGATAATTGCGTTGGCAAAAACTGCAATCTTTTCACGTTATCACACTTTTTTATTGTAGATAGAATTGCGTGATCCAGAAATGGGTAAAAAGTGCTGCAGCTCCCTAAGATTCCCTGTAGGCAAAAGAAGACAAAAAAATCGGGTCGAATCTATATATGCATATATGTCCGTCACGCAGAAGGCATTTTGGCTACTGTGCTGGCTTAAAGGCTAGCCTACCAGGTGTGGTACAATGGCCAAGTTAAGGTGGCTCTTCACCAAAACCGAGAGTTAAGCAGCCATCGTATTAAATGGCCACTGACCACATTTGAGCGTCCTCGCCGGAGCTCCCCTTAGTCATCCTCCCATTTCAGTCATCACAACATAGTCAGTCCTCTAAGAAAATACGTACTAGCTGACTGCGCCAGTCATCGAATTTCCATGCACTTAAGGAGATAATTAACCGCAAAGTCACTGGCCCCTCTTGGTAGTTCAACTGCATTTAGAGTTTCGTCTGATTTAGGAAATGATTTCAGGGACAGAGGATTGTGCTGGCCACCGTGCGTGTCCATAGGGAGATGTAGGGACACTGGCCTGAAAGGAGATCTAGGTAGGGAAGGATGGGATTTAACAGAGGTCCGTGGACAAAGGGTTTTGCTTCTATTCCTCTTTACTACGTTGTTCTCACCTTGACTGACTGAGTTTAACAATACGGGCTTATTAAAGGAACAACATTGTGCCGCCAGAGGCCTACGAGTCTAACGTGTCAGTGATGCGTATTGTCAGGAGAGTAGTCACTTAATCCCATCGTCGTGAGTCACACATTGCGACGAATGAAGACAAAAACAAACACTTAATTGTCACCCTAACTCTTCGCACATTCAACTTTGTAGCGATCTACATGCACACTGGAGGCTTTCAAACTAAAGTGGACGGTAGGATACCTGACACCTACGAACACTTTGGGTCACGTAAGACATCCGTAAGTAAAGCAACCTGTATTAAAAGTAATGCTAAGTACTTGTTTGAGTAGGGTGGAAACAATCATAGACACAAAAGCACCATTTGCTGCAGCATTTGTTCAAACATGCACTTCCTACTTGACAACAGAACTGCACATTTAATGTGGCGTATCAACGTGACACGCGTAAGACAGCAGAAACCGTACTGGAGGAGACTTCTTCGCAAGCGAATGTAATTGCCTACGTAGGTTGTTGGGGATGGGGAGAGACAAAGGGTTGGTGGTGGGCGCTCGTGTCCCTGCACTGTAGAAGGCGAGCGTGTTTTCTAAGGGGATACATCACAAGCGAGTGATCCATTCACCATCATCAAAACTGCATCTAAATTCAGCATTATCCAACCTGCAGGATTCGCCTACTGTTCTGTCTCTTCCTTTGACATGCGCGGAAGGTTTGGAAGTGTACGAGGTGGAGAGTCCGACATCACTTCACCATGCCAAAGAACGAACCAAGAAGAAATGAAAATGCAAGCGAGCTGTGGGCAGTAAAGCATTACTAGCTACACGGTCTGGCGTGTGAATGAATGCAATACTTTCACCTGCCATTCTCAATACATTTTGCATACATTCATATGTTATTCCCGGTTTTTAACTGATCCCATGCTAAGACAGTGGAATAGCCACATCTCCAAATCGCTTGTAATTCACCATCTCCGTGGTTCGTTCATTAGCACATCGACGTGATGTCTGACTTGCCACCTTGCACCCATCCAAACTTTCCGCGCCTGTGATAGGCTAGGAGGGAGAATAGAAAGAGAGAATTTTCATATTTTATACACTGACAGTCCGCCTGTGGACGAATTCGTGACTTGACTGCTGGCAAATTTGGATTGACTGCAAACAGGATTCAAACAACTGCGCTCACTCTTTCTAACTCTCATGCTCTTGATCCCATCTGCTTGATTATTTCCTCATCGTTTGTTCCGTTGAGTATTGTGTTGTCCTCAGACCTTTAGGACGAACTGATTAACCACACAATAGGATGACGAAGTGGAAGAAGCCATGGATTGCCTTTCAATGTACGTGGTGACGAGAAGCAGCAGCCGATGAATGAAAGTAAGTACAGGCGGGGCGGATTAGAAATTCCATTTTTCACTGTCTTGAGTGGTGGGAGGCAGAAAATTACCGAATTGTGCCTATTCCTCACATTCGGCCACTTTGCAAATCATTTATTCATATTCTTGCCCTGACACGTTTGGCAGCTTCTGTGGAGCATGTGTACTAAATAAGAAGTGCGAGTTATCAGGCAAACCCAAAGGAATCCGAAGAGGAAGCTAAACAACCGCTTTGAGCAATTCCAAATTTGTGCGGACATGAACAAGAAAGTGCCTCAGTGGATAGATTGTTGATTTGACTTATGCATGCTGACCGAGAGGACTCGGGTCGACTGCGATAATCGGAGGTATTGTACACGGTGAAGAGGATGACAAGAGAAGGTGACAAATTGATGATTAGTCCAGGTCAAATTCTTTTGCATATCGGGCAGAGGAAAGTCATCAAAGCAATGTCGCACAGACAAGGAGTGGATCATGTGTTGGGCAAAATCGTGAGCTTGCAATGCGTACGGCCAGTTGAATTCATCGTGGTAAACTGCTAGAGCGGTGAAGAGATGCACACGCTGATGAATAAATGAATGTGTAGAGAGATATTAACGGCTATACCAACAACCTCGCAGTTACCGACCCAACAAACTGGTGCTTTGCCGGTTAGTCAGTTGTGCACTCAGTTTGTTAGTCACGATTAAATATTCGACGTGAGTGCTGTCGACTTCGTGTCAGATGCATGTCCAACCAATCCACGCCATGCGTTTGCATCCTCCATCAACATGCAATTTCATTTCAAATAACGTTTTGCGCTGACGAACGATCGAAGGGACGAAGGAACGAATGAATGCAGAATACTCTTCACCTCTTTTTAATGCGAAAGAAAGTAGGAATTGGGCAACTTCTGGCTGATTATGTTGTTTGGACTGTCCACATGACTGTTCACCAGGTTCCGTTGCGGTCGTGTCAATAGCATACCTCCCACTGGTCGATGTCAAATTGTGTACCCCTTTGAAGCCTCCTTAAAATAAATGAACATAATACCTGAAACAGCTTGGTTGTGATGTGCCTCTGTGGTGATGACGATTACATCACCTGCCTTAACACCACATCTTCGCAGCAGGACAACATGCTACAATGTTTGAGTGTGTGAGTTCAATCGGGTAGTCGGTTGGGTGAGGTCTAAGTCGAAAAGTCCATTTGGACTTGCGGGAAAGCATCTAAAGAGGAGTGGCTTTAAACACGCTCACGTGCTTCACTGACTTACATCTTACAGGGGATCCCTTGAAGCAGTGATTGAAAATATAGGAGCCCACTGAAGTGCTGCAATATATCTCAGTGTATGATGGCAACCCTTTGGAATGTTAGGTGGATTTCCAGTGTTAGATAACGTAAAACGATTATTATGGCTTCATCAGTACAGCTCCAACATACCCATGCATCAAATGACTAGGAGTAGCTCCAACATTGCAGAGGTTAGGTGCTTTGTGATGTGGGCGCGATTTCAGGTCTGTAGAATGGTATGGATCTGCATTTCTTTACTCATCTCCTGCACAGAGGATGTAAAGACACTTCTAGGGAAAAATACAACGCATTGTGCACACCTTCATTCACTTCGCCACCTCCTTCGCTTCTTCCGCCAACGTCTGTCCCCTTTAGGCTGACTTAATCCACGGAGGAGGATGAGATGGCACTTGTTGACGACACCTAGTAAGAGAAGGTGCATTGATTGGCAAAAGTTGCATCTCATGCAGGTTGGAAACCCGTCAAACAGCAAATTAAAATTCACAGGAGTTGCAGAGTAGTTCGTAGTGGGGTAGTAGACAGAGGGACATTAGCTGTGACACATGGAATTCCCCACGAAAGACGCCTCCACCTTAGAGTTGGCAAGCAAATTAGAAGGCAAAAAGATTAAAATTAGAGTTAACTTAAAAATATTAATCTTAGGTTACTGGCGGGTATTTGTCCTGTGAGGAGGAATTTGTGGCCGCATTTCGAGATGAGACATTCACAGCGCCCCCTCTCGCACTCCACTCATCCTCTCGAGTGGTGTATATGGAGGCCTCAAAAGTCGACACATCCCTCAGTGAGGTCTTCTGCACAAGCTAAAGCGACTTGTGGCACTTTCTACCCAATAACTCACTACTCATTGGTTCCATCATGAGCACTACACCAAATTTGACTATTCATTTGACTGAGCATGCGGCATCAACTCCTCTCTCGTACGAAAAACACGCTGATGTCCACAGATGCGCTGCAATGCCGTCGAGAAGTGGGCGAGGTGCATGTCTAAGGTACTGGTCTTACGTAAATATATCGTTTTTGAAGAGGAGGAGGGATACAGTGTCGGGACT